GCAGCCATCGTCGGGCCCCGCCTCCGAACTCTTCGGGAACAGCCCGTTTCCCTAATTTCCCAACACTGGCGGAGGTACTAGTTATTTCACAGCTCGCTTGCACCGTTGCACGTTATGAAAGGAGGCAGAGTGAGCGGGAACTCCTGTTCACTTACCTTCAGATCTTCAGCTTATATTTTGTCTGTTCCCTAATGATGGTAGTACACAAGAGGAGGGAGGAAGGAAAGGGGTAGGGGAGTTCTGTAGGAAGTGATCGGTGGGGGAGGAAGAAGGGAACAGAGGAAAGACAAACTTCACAGGGTTCTACTTACTCAAAGCTGGAGCAGACTTCTCTAGAATAGCACAAGAGGCCAGCAAGTATTTGGGTTGCAGGAGATTTAGAGTTCAGGAGCTGCTGTTGCCTATGGTCAGTCGCAACCCCTGCAGACCGGACAGGACCGGTTTGGGTGGGTGTGGACTGTGCAAGCACAGCATCCACTTCTCGCAGTTGCAGTTGCTGCATCGAATGACGATTATGGCGGCATAGACAGATGCCACAGGCTATGCGGTTCCTTCATGCTAGGAACACAGAGGCATGCCGGCCTCAATTGTATAGGCATTGCCGTTCCCGCCCCTGTCCACGAATTGGACACGACATGTCAGGGTGCCGTACATGAGAGCAGTATTGACTATCATCCTACGTACGGAGACAAAAACTCGGATGGGCTATCCCTTCATAATCCTCACATAGTAAAAGTCATGTGAACCATATGCTAGCCAAATCTCAGGTGGTCATCACAGAGAGGCGTTGAGCGGGTTTCATGGGTTTCCGTAGTATTTATTCCCTCTCTAGGTAGAAGACAATGGGGATTGATCCAAAGCAAGGGTGTTTAGCTACTGGAGGATTTGGTCTGCAACAGCTTGCCCTGGTGGTGGTAACCTTTCAGTACAGCGCTACGTAGGCAGCTCATACGGTAGCCTATTTTCCTCCTCAGGCTGCCGCATCTTCGTTCGTATAGCAAGGAAGAAGGAAATCCGTCTGTGGTTGCAGTATGTGTATGCCCAATACTGCATGTGGGACATGCTAGGAGAGGATGTGGTGGATGACGGCACCGGAGATAATCCACGCAGTAGAGACACGTACTTTCTATGACAGCTGCCTGGAAACGTTGTGTGTGTTTTAAATTTCCACCACAACCGCTGCTATTCCACCCAGACGAGTAGATTCGAGTTGAGCCAGCCCAACAATTAAGGAAATTCACCTCTTTAGCAAGCAACATGAATCATAATAAAACCATTTAGAACCGTGTTGAGCTGAGGTTTCTTTGGGGCAACAAAAGCGTGTTGAGCTGGCGTTGCTTTGGGGCAACAAAACCTATTTTAGCTGGGGTTTCTTTGGGGCAACAGCTCCTCTTTTACTATGCCTCACACGTACAAGACTGCCCACGTTGATGGTGGTTAAGCGGTAGCTGCCCACAGCAGGAGGCAGAGTAAAGTGGAAGGTATGCTCCTGTGGATTTCACTTCAGATCTTCATACTCCTGTTCATTTCACTTCAGATCTTCACAGCTTATACTTAGTCTTCGTGTCTGTTGTTCGTCTTCATACTCCTGTTCATTCCATTTCAGATCTTCAGCTTATACTTTGTCTGTTCTCTTAACCATGCTCTTTCGCATGTATTTGCGAGTAGCACATAGAGGGTGGAGGGAAAGGGACAGAAAAAAAGTTCTATAGGAGTGTGGGGTATGGGGAAGTGGAATGCACAGGGCAGGAGAGAAATATTCGAAGGGCGGGATAGAGTATGACATGCAAAGGGCAGGGGAGAGGTACATGATAAACTTCACAGAATTCTAATACTCACCGCTGGAACAGAGTACTCTAGAATGGTGCATGAGGTCAGTTAGTGTTTGGGTTGCATAAGATTTGAGTTCAGCAGCAGCTATAATAAGTGTCCCACCCCCGACAAACCGGACAGGACCAGTTCAGGTGTGGACTGCGGAAGCACTGCATCCAATTTTCGCAGTCGCAGGTGCTGAATCGAATGGTGCGGCGTAGACAGATGTCACTAGGAACACGACGGCATGTCGACCGCAATTATAGAGGCATTGCCGTTCCAGCCCCCGTCTACAAATTGAACAAGACACGTCAGGGTGCCGTACATGAGGACAGTACCAACTGTCGTTGTACAGATGAAAGCAAAAACTCGCATGGACTATCCCTTCATAATCCTCACGGTACAAGGCATGCGAACCACATGCTAGTTGAATCTCCGGCGGGTCCTCGCAAAGCGGCATGGAGCTTCTTTCTTGGGTTTCCTCAGTATTTATTTCTTCTGTATGGGCAGACTACGACAGCGAGGATTAGTCCAAAGCAAGGGTGTTCAGTTGCTGCAGGATTTGGTCCGCAGCAGCTCACGCTGCTTAGCCTGCTTGTTATAAACTATCAGCACATCGCTCTGCAGGTGGTTCATATAGACGTCTATTTTCCTCCTCGGGCTTCTGTGTCTGTCGTTTGCCTGGCAAGGAAGGGGGAGATCCGACTGCGGTTGCCGTAGGTGTATGACCAACACCGCATGTGGGACATGCTAGAAGAGGATGTGGTGGATGATGGCACCTAGGATAGTCCACGCAGTAAAGACACATTGTCCCAGTACATAAAGACACATACTTTCTATGACAGGTCCGCCGAAACATTGACGACACATGGCATGTTTCTGACATGTCATCAGTATGGAAGGCTGACGTGCACAGTTATTTAAGAATGGAAGATCAAGGCCACAACGGCATGCTGGGCAAGTAATCAGTGGGTGGGGGGGATGAGACTGGATGCGACCAGCCCTTCATAGCGTTCGAAGCAGAGGCTATGCCGTGTGCATGCCCACCGAACTGTACGTGTGCGACGGCACAATGGGAGGGCACAGCCACCATCGTCTGGCGACGTCCCGTCACTGTTTGTGTAGAATCAGCCGGATTGCTCTCCAGGGGGTGCAGTGCTTGCAAGTGCTCATCGACATACTGTTCCTGATGAACGAGCCAGACCGAGCGATCCTCCAGCGCTTGGTGATAGAAAGAGTTAATATTTCCCGCTGTCTGCACCCTACCGCCATTGTGCCATAGGGTCCATGAGTTATCCGCAAAGGTAAGAGCACTGAAGTGTGACCTGGACGATGTCAGTGTGGGTGTGTGATGCATGCTCACCTGAAGACGAGCGATGCACAATGTGATGAACAGGACTCAGAACAAAATGATGTAATGCAATGTAGCGCAGCGGAAGACTCAAAGGTATGACTCATCCAGACTCGATTCACACAATCATTGTCACACAAGTCACACAGCAAAGAGGGGAATCATACACAGAAGAAAGGTCCCTCCTTGCTCACACACATGGAAAACAAACCACGGATGGTGAAGGGGGGGGGAGGAGAAATGAAGATGGAGAGGGGAGAGAAGACAAGAGTAGAACTCGTAGTCCTCCAAAAAATAGTCTCCCAGTCAAACGTGCAGCCAATGTCTGTCCTTAGAAAAGTTGAATCAGATCCTGAGCGCACATAGGCCCGAAATAGTCACTGCCTGCAACCTCTCTCTCTCTCTCTCTCTCTCTCTCTCTCT